CCAGCACAGCAGCAAAATTCCTGTGTCGCTCACTTACAGCTTCCAAAAAAGAAGTACTTTCTAGGGACATTCAGAGGGCCAGGGGTCACCTTCATAAATTGATGGACAAGCACAGGCAAGAGAGACTTAACACTGTCCTAAACTCCACTGCTGAGAAATCCCCATATGCTCCCTCCCTGCTTAGCTGTACAGTCCTCCGTACTGATACCTTCTTAGTGCGTGAAAGCTAGACACCATTATTAACAGGTTCTACTAAGTAAAAAGAGAAACGAAACCATGGAGCAACTAGCAAATTGTATTTGAAATTAGCAGTGTGCTGAGAGCTCCTTACCACTCAATTAAATTGTTATAAGCAACAACACTGTTCTTCAGATATGGCTGAGGATTAACATTGCTTCCGAAGGCATACTTGAAATGGCCATCTCTCAGACGATAGGCTTTCCGCCTCGATATCACAGATGTCAGAATATCCTTAAGATGGTTCTGCAATGGAAAACAATCTTATTATGGATGCCGATTTATCCACCCTACCAAGCCACAACTAGGAGAAGTGCCTCACCAATTGGCAAGACAGAAGTAGTGCTGCTAGGACCACAAGGACCTAAAGACTAAGAGAACAAGTTACAGCACGTTTTCACTCTCTGATACAGTTGGATACAGAGAACACAGCACTGTGCAAGAGTACTGAAGCATTAGTACGCAAACTGTGCTGTACTGTATGCAAACTGTACTTTAATATGTGATGTGCTGCTTCAAATGTCAAAGAGGTTTCTTAAATGCTAGGAAATTCCCAACCCCGGATCCCTTTGATAAACAGTTAAGAGATTTCATAATTGGCACTAGATGTTACACTTGTACTGAAATACTGGCCCTAAAACTACCGCGAAAAGCCACTCAGTCCTCTTTTTCAGACTGTTCAGTTGCCTGGAAAGTGCTGGAGAAGCAACTGTCTGAAAAAACAGGCAGACAGCTGCTTCTTAATTTGGCCTCACTCCCAGATGGGGAATTCAGGTTGGCCTCCACATCCCGACTCCAGGAAACCATCCGCACATCAACGCTCCAAGTAATGGCTGTCTCATTCCTGGGATATGTCAGATAATGCACCACTGATGGCCAAGACCAGCCACAGCAGACACTTCACCTACAGATATGACCTGATTCTGTCACTTCACTTCCATGCCAGATACTTGCACCTATAACCAATTTTTTTGTATAGAACTGTTTAAACTGGAGCTCCTGTTCTGCCCCTGCTTTTAAGTGACAGGAACAGCATTTTCGGAAACAGCTACTTAAGCATGCCTGGAGTTCTTCATATGCAAGTACTTCAAAATTAACACTTGCAGGCAGAAATCCATGACTTTACATCTATGATGCCACAAAGCTGGAAGCCCTTTGATTCTCACCTTACTCCTCCCGAGGCAAACGGGCAATTAGAGAAGCAGGTTTCCTCTCCCCGCTGAGGGACGCTACCCCATACGGCACACAAGAGCCTTTTGTTGCTGGTGTAATGAGAACACTGCTGCTGCCCAGCCCAGTCTCACCTCCACAGCATAAACAACTGCGGTCACTGCCTCCTCTGTGACATTGTCTAGCCCGTGCTCATACGCGGTTACGATCATCCTTCCTTCTAACTGGCCACGTGTAGGAAGCATCATGGTATGAGAACACAGCTTCAAATCGTCATCCTCCTGAGGATCCTTTGCCACAAATTGCTGGGCTCCAGACAACGGATTCTGAGGCTGGAACCGGTGCTGTTATGAACACAACATTAGAGCATAAGAAGATAAATACTCGGTCAGACCCTTTGGTTCATCTAGCCAGACATCCCTTCTCCAGTCAGAAAGCAAACGCCTGTAAAAATGTATCACAGTAGGACAAGCAGAGTGATATTCCTCCCCAGGATACTCTCCCAGCCCCCAGTGATTTGTGACTGAAAAATTTCTGAGCCGGTAATGGTGTTCTTTTATTAAACAAGGACAAGCCCGTGAACTTGTCCAGCAGCACCCTGAACCACCTAAATTTTGGGTATCCACAACATCCTGCAGCAAGAAATTCTACAGTGTAACAACACACGACATGAGGATTCACCTCTCCTCTGGTTTGCTCTGTACTTCCCACCTGCTAGATTAATTTGATTCTCCTGTAAGTCTCAAATGTCATTGTCCCTTTTATCTCTGTTCATGCTATCCAGGCCAGTGATGATTTTATGGACTTTCACATCTCTCAGTCACCTCCTTCTATGCTGAAGAGTTCTCGTCTATTTAGTAATTTCTTGTACAGAAGGGTGTATTTTTACTTACTAACTGTACAGTTTCCATCAAGATTAAAAACCATGATCCTAAGCTTATGTGATTCTTAAGTGATTCTTACATTTCTTTAAAGCCTTAAATGCAACAACTTAGCCAAATTCCAGTTCTGAATTGCATACTCTAGTCTTTCCATGCACTTTCAATACTCTAAGCAGAGCTGTGTTACTGAGCAGCCACTGATTCTGAGATGGATTATGGCTGTTTTTCAGAACTGACTTGGTTATTTAGAAAAACCATCACAGAACAGGAATTCATACCAGAAGGTGGCAACCCCCATTTCCCAGGCCACATGTATTCCAGCACAATTCCCTTGATATGCTAGTATCTCAAGCTCTGAGTGCTTGTGGCAGCTCCCGGGAAGTCTCAGTCCTCAGGTAAAGGGGGGAAAAAAGCAGACAGGAATGATCGATCCTTGGGCCCAGACAGGCACTTGGCCCAGCCCCAGCCCACAAAGGTACAACATGGCCCTGGCTCATCAAGTACTCCCACAACTCCTGTCCCTCAGCTTGCCAAGCCACAAATCCGGTGGCTCTGGAAGGACGATTGCCACGAGGCTCTCATGGGGCATCAAGACAAACACATACTTTAAACAACGAATATACAGCAAAGTGGATTTCTTGCATCTTAGTTTCAGGAAAGGAAGGGGGGCTGCTTTATTCAAAGGACAGTGTGGCATTTAACTCAGACTGAAAAACCAATCCACCCACTAATGATGTGAAAGCAGGTTTCCCTCCCTGTAATTCTGAAGACTTACGCTTTCATTACAGGAAAGCTACATGCCTGTATGCCTGGAAAAAAAGACCTTCAAAACGTCAGCAACTCTTAAAAGGAATGTGGTTTGGGAGAACAGAAGCCAATTGGAATGAATCTAGTGGTCATTCACGGCTGTTATTCTGACCAGTGAGGGAAACATCAGGAAATATCAAG